CAAATTCATCAGTAATACAATGGCATTGAACAGAAAATAGTTCCTCCACCATGCCCTCGACACAATATTAACAATCTCTACTTTCCCACCAAAGTGGAAAAAAAAGAAGACAAAATTCTTGGATGTTCAAATTCTAGCAAATGAGAGGGCCACAGAAATCCTGATTGTGGTACAAAATATGTGAAAGTAAAATTATACCTCAATTAGCTGCACACAAGATATTAGGTATTAGAGTGATATCCTAAAGTTTATATTTTTCCTTTATAAGGGAAAATGTCAAGAAAAAATAATTTTGCTTCATTGTAATTTACTACTTGTCACAGAATAAATATAGCATCTCTTCAGGTACAGTTTCTAAAATTAAAAAGTATACCTTTAGTCCTGGGAGAGATGCCAAAAGCTCGTTACTTGTCTCCAGATTTACTACATGGGAATAATGTGGAAAAAACTCGCAGCTTTTAAGATTTAAACTCAGCAGCATATCAAATTTATTCTTATATGGTATACTTGTTCATGACCTCTAGTCTTAAGAAATTCTGTCATGTTTGAGAACTAGTCCCCAGTGAAGCCTGTATCAATGTTAATAGCTAAGAGGTCAATGCAACTGCTAAACAGTTTGTATTACTGTCAGGGTGGTCATGAAAACAACACCTGCTGCATGAGCACTTGGCAGCTGGGTCAACAGGCACTGTGGGAATTTATCAATTTAGGGGGCCACTTGCATAACACTTTGACTGATGAATTGGGAAAGACTGGCTTACTGGGCTAAAGCTGCTCTATTATGTATGACTTTCTTTAGGATGGCAGAGGCTTCCTGCAGGCTCCAGAAAATAAGCAGAAGATAAACGGAGCTGGTTTTGCCTTATAAAGTGATAAAAAGTGAGAACTCCTTAATAGCCAACATTAGAAAGACTTAGAAAAATGAAAAAAAATCCCAAACCAAAACAAAAACTTTTACAGTCAGTGAGCTGTGATGTGATTGAAAAAAATCTTTAGGTTTTTCCATCGTGGTTACAAAGGAGGTTTTGTCAAGTACTTCTGTAAAGTGAAACTCTCTAGACTGGTATTCGCAAAAAGCTCTAATTTCTCTTTAGTGTCTCTTATGGGAATAGTAACTGCATGTGGGTAGGTAAATGAGATAAGAATTTTGCATGCTACGGCTAAACTAAACATAATTAGACATTAATTCTGGCTTTCCATTCCCTCAAATGACTTAAGGGATAGTAACTTTCTGAACAGAAAGAAATCATATGGCCCACCTGGGTTGGTGAGAGCATTCACCAACAAAATTTGCTCATTCTGCAGACAGCCTGAGGTAGTAGCTTCACCATATTTATATACTATATAAACTATATATACTATGACCCATCTGAACTATGTTGTTGCAGATCACTCTAGTACTGTATGTTTCTGAGCTTCCTTTTTCAGACTAATTAAGGTCTTCAAGGTGGCTTTCACGAATACTGCTTTTACACCTTACAATCAAACACTCTTGTCTCGTGGTAAAAAATAAAATCACTAACATTCTTGTCAAGAGGCTGAACATTGTCAAAATGAGATATAACCTAGATATGGTTCAGTAATGTCTGAAATCATTCTGTTTGAAAAGACTCTTTGATAGCGGACATCTCAGAAGGCGGTGTTGGAAATGACGATGAATAGAATTACACACTCTGGAGGGGCATGAAAGAGGAATGAGACGGTTTGAATCAAGTTCAAGTTTCAGCCCAGTGGAAAGCAGCTATTCTGACTGTTGATAGAAAACACATTGAGATCCAGATCTATAAGGTGTTAAACATATGGAGAGAAAGAGGAATTCTTGCATGTGCAAGGACACTTACTTAAACTCCACCTTCCTTTCTAAAAATTATCTCCTAGCTCCAGTGAGCCACGCTGTTCAACACTGTCATTTATCAACTTTGAAGCTGTGGTACAGACAGTTGAAAACATAACTTCAGAGGGAAACAGCAGTGCATGACTATCCTTCAAACTTCTATGTGTTTAGTCTCATCTTTTAAATGGAATTCTTCTGCATTCCTTGTCACCTTTCCCTGTGCTTTTCCCCTATCTTCTCTGAACCTTTACTATTTTATCTAGAATTTGCTCAGGAGTAAAAGCAATCTTAAGTGTTCTAAAAGAGGACTCACAAAGCCACACTATGGCTGTGCTACCAACTTACGCAGTTTGTTTTCTTTCTTTCTTCTTGGTTTGCCCCCCTGTATGGTTTTCATAGAACAGCTGGTAGTAATGTTTATGTTACAGCTGATACAAACTTATCAATGGATATTTCCTATTAAAATATGCATTTTTTAATGCTGCCTGTATCTGATTTTATCTTCTCATGATACAAAAGGATCATATTCTCATTTCTAACAGGTTTGTCTCCCATTTTCCATGTTATTGACTGACTTGAATATTTGGGCTAAAACATTTTCTGTATCATCATTTATATAATTATTTTGTCTACAAAAGTTTTAGTGATTACTGTTAGAATGTACTTGTAGAAATAGGCAAACAGAAAAATTATAATATAGGAAGCATAAGGCTAGGAAGTTTTTCTTTTTTTGGTCACAGAAAGAATTTATAGAATGCTTTTAATTTGCACTGATCTTTTAGAACATCTGACTATCTAGGTCTCTTATTTGAGAATTATGTGCCATTGCTCTTTTTCATTTGTTCCTAGCCTCTGAAAGTATCTTACTTCTTATAATGTTCCTTTTTTTTTTTTTTTTTTTTTTTTTGATAGTCATCAATGAATGGCTGTATTTTTAACTTACGAAATTAAAAAATGTTATTTTAACCAATTTATCTTTTTTATGTGTTTGTAATTCTTAAGGCTTCCCTTATCTCCTCCAATTGGAAAGCTATATAAGGTATTGCCTATACTCCTCACTCTATTCAGTTGTGATAATATGTGGTATATAGATGTTTTACAGTGCCTCATATTCTTGGTTTTTAAATTCAGGTTGTAATTTTTTCAGTTTCTCATTTATCACTACATTGTCTAAGAGCTCCCAAGTATCAGTGTGTAATTTCAGTAACACTGTTATGGAGAGAGGGATTCTGTTATTCTGTGTTTTTCAGAGGAGGCTGTTTAGTTATTGACATGAAGCAAAGAGAAGTTTCCTGTGGTCCCCCGTATTCTGTGTTTCAAACTACTTTGATGGAGGTATTCTCATTCTCTGTGTTTATCATATTTATTCATTTTCACCTATCACCTCCATGTAGTCCCTCATTTTTATTACATCTGAAAGGTTTTAGGATTGGACCTTCCCACTGCTCATAATTGAAGATTCATGCGAAGAGTTCCTTGGAGTACTCTCATCTTCTGCTCTTCTCATGGTTTGAAAAGCTCACTTCTTTTGAAAACTTTCTAGTGCTAGTGATACCCAAATAATAGGTTTCTTTCTTGAGCTCTTTGAGACAAGGAAGTCAGGGTCACAGTTATGTTTGAGAATAAGTTTGTTTATGCACTAGTTTTCTATAAAGATCAAATGAAACAAAATCCTGCATCTTTTTGTAACATCCATTATTTAGAATAAAAGGGTAATTTTGTAAGCTTGTAGTAGCTTATGTACAACAACTAGAAGATTGCTTTTTGGCATAAAGTTTTTAATTTCCAGCAAGGAATGATAATTGTACTCTTCTGTAGTGCCCCACACATGGAAGGCACTATCTGCAAATAGATTAATCTGCCAGGGGCCACCCCTCACAGAGTTTTGTTATGAATTTCTAAGCAATGAATTTCTAAGATGTGACAAATCAGTACCTCAGTAATTTTATACCAGATGCTCATAGCCTACGTGTAGCACTTTTGTTTTGGTTTAGAAAGCTCACTGTGCTAGACTTTGCGCTTTTATTTGATGTATTTGTATGGTATGTATCTTGAGATACATAAACATAACAGCAAAATAGCACTATGCCAAAAATATTAGCCCGTGGTTGACAATTAATATATTAATATTAATTAATAGAGCTTCACATAAGCATTTGCCAAAGCCATGGAATTTTTAAATTGTTTAGAAGTGTAATATGAAGTTTGTGTGATGTGGTAAGTAGAGCTGCAGTGCTCTTTTGTGAAAGAAATTGACTATCTTTCACTTAAAAACCAGCAGTGGTAATGAAATGAAAAAAAAAAAACAGCCAAACTCAAAACTTTGCTTGAATGAAAACTGTCCATGTTTCTAAAAAGTGTTACCAAACACGACATCCCCTTGCCATAGTCTGTTTAATCTCAAACGCATGCCAATTTACAAAAGTATTTTATAGTTTTCTGGTTACTTTCACTAGTAACCAAACACAGTCTTGACCGTTTTCCATACGTGAAAACAGCCAAACGTGAGTGCAGCAATGGGAGGTCTGGCCTTTCAGGTATGTCAGCTGAAGACCACCCTACTGGAAGAGGTAACGAGAACAAAAAGCCGAGGTCAAACAAGGCAGCCCCATGTAATTAGATACTAATAGTGGATTTAGGGTGTAAAATTCACTTAAAACCATACACCAACAGTCTAAACAATCCCAATAAGAATAGCAAGTTTTGTTCTAAAAAAATATTTTTAATACCAGAAAGCATAAATAAAACATCCATAGTAGCCTTGACTGACAGACTGCAGTAACATCTGCTTCCAAATTAGTGCCATAGGTTTGGGTAGCATAATTAAAAAACAGTGAAACTCAACTGGGACTTGTAGTAAGTACAGTGTGCACCCCGTGTTATGAATTTCTTACCAATTTTACGTGTTGTCTTAATAACAGTTTTTGAGTTTTAATTCCAGCAAGAAAATAAATAAATCTCTCATAACAGTCAACATCAAAATAAAAAATGGATGTCTGACTGTAGGTGATGCTTAAGGTAAACATGCTGAAGTAGATGATGAACTGATAAACGGATAATAATTAGGTTGTTTTTGTGGGGATGATGAGTTCAAAGTAATTAGTATGACAGACTTGATTTCTTTTGGCCCTTTCATTTTGTATGTTAATTTTTGATCCTTTTGCAGAATGGATGTGGCCTTTCCTGCCATGGACGTGGTGTCATGGAGCAGCAAGATCCATCACTAAGGAAATGGTTTTTCACCAGTCAAAGTAAGTGCTTGTCACCTTCTCTTATTGCTGCTGGGGCTGCATAGGGGACTAGCTTTTTGCAATCTTTCCTGGTTCCCTGACATTCTCATAGCTGTAGCTGCTTTGCAAAGTACTTGAAAGTAATCACATCCCAAGAAACTCTGGTTTGGTAATTTTCATGTATTCTAGTTTTATAGCTGGTAAATTAGATTAAGTAACTACCAATTATATTAATTTTGTATTTTATAAATCATTTCGGTGGGACTCATGAGCCTCTTGGAAACAGCAGATGAAACAAATGCTTGTGACTTGAGTATATTTTTATCATATTGTCCAGGGATGTAAGTTTTCTTTCTTTGGATTCTCTTTTGTGCTCCAAACCTTCCCAGTGAGATATGGATGAATGTAGGGACATAGAAGGAACTTGAAAACTAGTAAGCAGTGACAGAATACAGCCACTGAGGACTGGGCCCTCTCTATTCTTCTCAGTCAGTAGCATCTTCTAGACAATAGTGCTGTTAGCAAAACTGAAATTGTGAGGATGTGAAACTGGAACTGACTGGATAGTAGCTGGTGAAATTACTGAACTAATTATCTCTGTAGTACCTTTCCAGTATACAGTGTAGATATTGTCAATCAGTCCTAACATTTTGTGCCAGATCTATTTGTGAACTGTCACAATGCAATGGCAGGCCAGGCGCCAGTAGCCTTAGGAGGAATTCTAGTATTCTGCCTTCTATAGGCACTGTATAACCTTTGTAGGACCTACAAGTCATTTGGCTTCAGAACTACCAGCAGCATCTTTTACTTGTGCTGATCCATATGGTTCCATTTTAAATGTGTCTAAACTTCTATGAAAATATCTAAAAAATGTGAATCTTAAGAGGGAAAGTTGTCAGCACTTAACATGATGTTAAAGAGTAAAAATTAGAGGCAACTACACTACTTCTGTTCTGACAGTCACTTTCTATGAGAGTGATTATTTCAGTGAATTTATCCTGCTTGCTGCTGATATTATATTTGCTTATAAGAAACTTCTGCATTAAAAATATTCCTTCTTACTTTATATGAGTATTGTACAGTGCAGCTACATGGAAAGAACTACGTTTTTATTTTGCTTTTTAAACTGTTGAAGGGAAGAATAATCTTAGGGACTAGTGCAGTGCAATGCTCACCTTTTTGGGTCAACGATCTTGTAGAGTTTTCCATTGTGAGTCTGTGTCATACTTTTACTGTTTGATAGTATGTAAATCTCGCCTGTTAAAGAAATCAATACATTAATTAGTTCTCATTTCTTCAGATGTCAAACACTTGTGATCTAGCTATATATACACAATGAGGTTAAAGATATTTTGGAGAAAACACTCCTAGCTGAAATATACTACAGAATCATTGCTATCTGAAAATTTAAATAATTTAATATATTTTTTCATATTGTACTAACTAGTAAAAAAATATATGACGGGGTACTTATGTATTAAAAATGAGGACCCATCTGCTCATGCAGATCTCCTCTGCCCATCTGTAACACTGGAAATAAAAACAAGCATATGACTTGTGTCAGAGTGAGTGACAGAGTTCACAGAATGTGAGAGAAAATAAGAACCTTTGACCCTTTCTCTTAACAGCTCCTCTTACACAGCTGGTAAGGTGTGGATGAAACAGCAGTGTAGACAGCTTTGGCAAAAGGAAGCCAGCCTTCAGATTTCTTCTTTTTAAACATTTACTATGGTTTCAAATGGTTTAGCTAGCATACTTATAAGACTTACGATTTAAGAACATATATTTTTTCCTATTTACCTAGTTCATCTTCACCAAATCCCAAGACAGGGCCTGAAAAGAAACCTCTACATGATCCGCTGTTGCCAAGACAGAGGGGTTTCTCTTGCCACTGTTTAGTTGCAGGATTCTGTTGCAGCGTTAAAAAATTTCTATATTCAAAAACACAGAAAGCAAATTGTTATATTATGTTCTGAGTATAGAATTTTCACTGTCCAGATAAATAAGTAAACACTTGCAGGAAGTAGCTCCTTAGGTAGATCTATACAGTTCATCATCTTATTTCCTGCCTGTTATTTTTCAGATGCCTAAAAAGCATAGAATTTCCCTTCCTGTCATTCAAACATCATAAGATAAGGTTTTGCTGCATTATATGTAGTCATTTGTGAATGCTGGCCTATTTGGCATGGGAAAATTATACTCTTGCAATTAAAAAGCATTAATTTTGCTCCATCAGTGTTGCCATAAAACCCAGAAAGTTTTCCTTATCTCATTAGTTAAATCAGTTTGGCAAACAGTTCCATGATTAACATTTACTTGTATTATAAAGTAAATGATGAATGTAAAGTGTGAAGTTAGTTTCTTTGTCTGTCTATTATTCCAAGGATTAGAAATGTTACCTATGTTGCCCTTCATTAGAATGTCATTCTGCTTGATTCCAAATCTAGAATTTAATCTACATCATCACGCTGCTACTTTGGCAAAGCGACACAATGTAAAAAAGTCCGTTGCTGTTTTTTCATACAGGAAGCTCATAACAAAATATACCTCATGTATATTTTATGTTTAAGGCTGAAATTATAAGAAACTTACCCATTGCGGTCTCCAAATACATAACTTCCATAGAGCCTTTCAGACTGGCAACCTCGATAGACAAATCCACCGACCAAGGCTCCACTGCTGAATGGTTTGAATTCTAAAAGTGAAGGCTCACTTTCTAAAAAGGAACTACCATAGTGTTAGATCATACGCAGTTTCATGTTTTGATTCACATTTATGAATAGGGTTATTACTTTCAGAAAGAAATTAATTCCCTTTAAATGATCCTCAAAATTCAAGATGTATAGCTGGAAATTAAGCATTAGGAAAATCAGAAAATTGCAACGAAAGCTGTTTGTGAAACAGTTAACTAGGAATTTAGGTAGGAGACACTATAATTACCTTCTTCCATGTGCACAGGCCAAGAGAATAAAACTATACCAGGATTAGGTCAGACTTCCATTTAAGTTAATGTGATTACTGCTATTAACTTTTATGTGTCCATACAGTCTACAGAATAGATCTCTTGAACTTCAGGAATACAATTAAACTCCCTTCACTGAAAAGGGGGCTTATACTTCACCAGAACCCAAGAGCACAAATTCCAGTGATTTTCAGCAGAACTTGTTTTCAAAGCCATTCAGTGGTTTAAGAAACTCTTTCAAATCACATTTGAATACATTATGTGTGTTGTGTGCCATAAAACACTAATATTGCTGGATGTAGCTTTTTATGGTAATTTTTTGTGCTGCTATTATAATTGTAGTTCCTACACTTTTTATTTTATTTTACTTTTTACAAAGCTGCAATTTAGTCACATCAAGTAATATCTTGGATAACATTTCAATGTAAATGCGCCTATGCATTCAAATATTGCTTAGGGTGAAAGTAGCTCAAATTGAAATGCCAACTGCATAATTTTAAATTAAGCCACTGCTGACAGAACTTTTTGTTTCAGAGGAACTTTGTTTCTAGTTGAAGTGCTCTCTGCAGGTCTTTGAAAAAGGATTTTCCTAGATTGTTCTGCAAGAGCTGAAATTCTGTGTTGGAGAAAAGGATGATAAGCATTTTTTATTTAAGCAGTTGACCCACAGCCTTGTATTAAAATAGGCAAGATGTTCTGGATAGACACAATATTGCTTAGTTTACTCTGCAATAAAGATGCAGTCAAAATTCCATTGGAGCAGTGGTTTACCAAATACTGTTCTTTGGTTTGGCTTTCATAAAATGCACACAGAAAATACATGCAGTAACTAAAGTGGAACAATTGCATTACACATTGGGACTATGATACTAGTCAGCACAACTGTTTTACTGGGGATGTAAATAAAACTTGAAAAAGTTCTGCTCCAGGAAATAGGTCGGTTCTTGACGCTTTTACACACCTTTGAAATTTACCACCTTTACCATCACGAATTAGGAACTGTTAAATGGTCAAACAAGACAGATGATAGCTCAGATTAACTCTTCTGGCTCACCTGACCTAGCAAATGATCTTGGTATCAGACTTAAACATTTATCTTGGGAGAGGCAATCATACTGATTCAGAGAGCACATAAAACACTCTAAAATTTTAAGTTACTAATTGAGTGTGTTTATCCCATTGCAATCTGAACTAATCTTTTATTATGAAGTAGTAATAGCATTATGAAGTAGCATAGTGCCTTTCTCTTAAGTAAGTTGTTCATTTTTAGTAACATTTAAACACAGAGCTCAGTCATTTCCCGGTTTGGTTTTAGTCTGTTGTTGTCTTTCTCATTTTTTCCATTATAGGAAGCACATTACATGAGGTTTCCATTCTGTACCTTACAAGGCTATTTGTGAATGACTAAGTATACATTTTCATCACTTCGTGATATTCCAAAATCTTTTCCTTATAAGCTGTCATTTGCAACTACAATGAGATCTTTGAGTGACTGACAACTGGCATATTTCCCAAATCTTATTTATGGTCACCGTTTTGTCTTTCATCTTTTATCTTCTTGTAGTTCAGTTATATCTTCTGTAGGTTACCTACAATGCAGTCAATGCCGTAAGTTACCTATTATGGCTTTACCATCCTTTATCTTTTGTTTTCTGCTTTCCTTTCATTATTCCATAGTCACAGGAGCCTCCTGTTTCAATAAGCTTTACCCTGGATGGAACCTCCCTCTTCAGTTAGCTTTACCCTGGATGGAACTTACCATAGTCTTTACCCTTTATTATCTGTAAGATTCTTGCTGAAGATCTGTTCTTTCCGTTTGAATCTGAGCAAAGTATTGTTAAATTGATGTTTACATCTGCTGGGTGGTGATCCACAGCACATCTTAAAACAAAAAATAGAAGAAAATCCATGAGATATACAAGCTCTTAATGTGTAAATCTCTAAGAGTAGTATGAAGCATCACATTTTGAAGGATTACTCTTTGTCGCTTCTACTCCTTTGAGGGACTCGTTTCATAACAAGCCAAAATATCTGTCTGAGAGGTGCGTCAGATCTGTAC